AAGATCTTCGATTCCTACTTTAAGATGCAGGCTGCAGTGCCACAGCTGCGGCTATGAAATAATGTATGTTGGACGTGTGGAACTTATCGTTTAAATTACCAGTTCTACCGCAGAGCTGCAAGGACATATACACATGAGGCCCAGGGCAAAATTGAAAAAGAACTGCAGCCACCTATACAAAATCCCTGTGTGTAGCAGCCAGAGTTTCTTTCTTAGTAATTACTTCTTTTATAGATTCAAACTGCTAGACTTCATTGCCTCACACCAACACAGGTCCATTCGGAGCAGAAGCCACCTATTATCCATCCAGGACAGCTGCATTGACGCATTGAATTCAGCTGCCATTTTCTGTTAAAAAACACAATTAACAGCTCACCATTACTAATGGCTCAAAGGCCGGGATAGTAGCACCCTTTTTAAGCCAAACGGTTGCAGAACAGCAGCCTAAAGGCAGGCAACAAAAGTGCAGTGATCAACAGGGAAATCTGACCTTGCATCATAGCTGTGGGGCCTTGTCATTCAAACAGAGTTGCACCAGTAAAGAATGCGTTCTTCAGTTTGAAATGCTGCAGAAACATAGCAGCTACCACCTGATGAAAAGCGTCAGAATGCTTTCTGCTGGTATTTCAAGAAGACACATTTTAGCAAATGCCTTTCAGAGACTCAGGCCTCTCACTGGTGTGAATGGAGACACTGCTCCTAAGTTCCTGGCCCTTATTTACTATTATCCCTGTAATTTTCAGTTACGTCTTCAGTTACTGTGAACACACTGCAGCTTGAGGGCTTTTCCATCAGGGCCTTTTATGGTGAGTCTGGTTTAACTTGGCCAAAGGTTGAACGATTAACTTTTGAGTCTCAAGGTAGACGCTTCAGTTTGCTTTCAAATAAGAATGACATTTTCAGTTATCAGACTGAAGGAGCAGTGAACCTTCACAAGAAAGAGAGGTAAGTAAGGTACATGTTGAGAGGTTTAAAGCAATTACATGAACAATATTTACCGGTGGTGGAAAGTAAGTGGGTACATTTCACTAGAAGGGACCTGCCCTCATTAAGTATGTAGGTAATGTAGGGATGTGGAATAGGAGAATAGTGAAATGAGATTTAGAATAGAAAAGGAGGGGAACTTGGGTTGGTAACAAAAAGCAGAAGAGGCAGTGTGATGGTATAGTGAGTTTAAATAGTATGAGAAAGGAAAGGGGGGTGGGGGAGGGGGTAGTTTGGATCAGGTTCCACTCCCGAAATTCAGTTACGTACATTATCTCAGTTTACTCAAGTACTGAACTTAAGTACACATCTGAGGCATGTCTACTTTAGTTGAGTTTTTTGATAAAAGGTCACTTTCATTCTTTTACTTACAGTACTGTAAGCAACATTTTAAATGCATGACTTTACTACTTATAACTGAGTAGTTCTTCAATGTGGCATTGCTACTTTTACTAAGAAAGTAAAATATGAGATTACTGGCTGCAGAAACCATCCAGTCAGTGTGCACTGTGCTGTGAACAAGTGATGCAGCTGGCATTCTGGTTTAGTGGCAATCAACACACACCTCACATAGAAAGTGACATCACATATTCCCTTATATTCTTCACATTTTATCAGGCCTAATTACAAACACATTGTTGGAGAACAATTTTGATCAAATTTTGAATTAAAAAAATAATACTGAAGGTCAAATTTAGGAAAAAATATAACACAAATTTTCCATTTGTTTTTTTCTGTAATAAAAGGCAAAGTTAAACTAACTAATATTATTTTGGCCTATTAGTTTTTTCACATCTATAAATGTGAAGGAAGAGCAACTACTATAGAAGGGTTTAATTGGCTTTTTTATTTTGATATTTGTTGGCAGTTAATGACTTAAACCATGACAATCCTCTCTCCACTTGTGATTATAATTCTCTCCAAACTGCAGGTTTTTAATATCTGCTTTTGCTTGAAGCCCTTTCACAACACCTGATGTAAAACATAACTCAAGGGGCATTTCCCTCTGGTTTAAGCCTGCTGTCAAGGTGCTTGTGGATTATTATTATTATTATTATTATCCACTCCAAAACCACTGAACGGAACCCATTACTTCAAATCACAAAAGAAATAAAGAAACAGAATGAAAAATATCATGGGGAGTGATGGTTATACAGTAAAAATCTTCCTGATGCCTTTGCTAATGGCAATGATGCAACCATTTTTCCAAACATTATAAACCTCAGTGGAAGAAGAAGCAGCAAAATGATAAATTTCAAGATGCCGACTTTGCCATAGGCTAGCACTTAAAGTACACTATCTCAAAAATAAAAATCTTCTTGATAAAGCATGCAGTAACAGACATATCTGAAATGCAGTTGTTGTTGATTTATATAAAAACCTCTGTTCTTTGCGTGTTGCTCTAAAAGCGATTCCTCCTTTGTTCAATCATGAAAAATGTATAGTCCGATTATTACAATGTCTGTCCACCAACCAACTACCCATGGTCCTGCATAAATACATTATAGGTGTTTGTCTTGTATTTAATTTCCCATATCTCTATTGTGCACATTTTGAGAAGCATATTAAGAAAAAATGATAATACACTACTTTGATGTCCATGTTCAAACGAGCGAAGGTTCTGTCTTAGTCAAGACTAAAAAATCATCAACATCAAGGAAAGCCTGGTCTTTATTATGCAGTGTAATAGCCCAACTGTATGGTTCATAAAACTGAAACAGTAAAATCTTAACACTGACTAAAAAAAGCACATGCAGCCTTTTATCTTTCTGAAGTTATTAAAATTTAATACATTCATTTTTTATTTTTACTATTTACTGTAAGGATCCTCTCTAGCCCTATGTGATAATTTATCTTCACAGGTACACATTTTTATTGAACTGTTTACAACACAGACATGATTCTGAGTTTGAGATCAAGAATATACACTGACTAAAACACTGAGTTACTCCTGCCTGAAGCAGTGGATTATCTCTGTGCTGTTTGTGTAAAGCTGATCTGGGAGCAGGGCATTGTTTCAATCCCATTCCATCCCTGGTTGACCTCAGCTTTCTCTTCACAGACACAGTGGTTAAGCCCTCAAACTCGCAGGCCATCCTCCTGCCCCTGGTCAGCATGAGTCATAAGAAACAAGTTTTACCTAGAGTGGGAATCCTGTATGGCTTGCTATACTTTATATTGGCAATAAGTTGCAGCAAAAGGACATATATGTGTTTATCCTCTAGCCATCAACCAGGCAGGACACTTCATCCAGCACTCATTACATCAGTAAACATTTCTGCCTTCCCTCTGTCTGTCTTCTGTTTACCTGAACTTTTCTAGCTCCATCTCTTTGAATCCCAAATTCCTATCTTTTTCTTATTTTCTTATCTTTCTCCATCACACATTCTTGTGCTCTTTATCTCTGAGTTAACATAGTAGAATAAAACTTTCAAAGCTATATTAGATGCTATCTAATCCTACAGCTATACTAAAACATTCCTGTTTTGTCCACAAATAATGTTTAAAGTAGTTTAGGACTATTTGGAGAGGGCCTGCTGGGATTCAGCCCTTCATATTTGTTTCCAGAGATGGATGTTGTACATAGATTGTTTCTAGTTAGCAAAAGCCTGCTTGACTGCACAATGGATCGTGATTAGATTAAAGCTGCACTGTAAAAGCTTTCATTTGTGTTAAAGTGGGTTTTATCTCAGAGGGCGACACAGCCAAAATGGAACACTGCTGAGAAGCATTCTTTGGAAAGAAACACAGACTGAAGGGCATACTCCATGCGCTGGAGGTCTCTATCCTTGACAGCCAGACAACTTTCAAGCTATTTGTTAGGGAAAATAGAATGGGAGTGAGACAGCGGCAGCATAAAGGGTGAAAGAAAGATCATTACAAAGGACAAGGATTTAGAAAAGGAGAGAAAGACAGGAAGGGAGACAGAAGGCCTGGGGAGCACCCATGTCATTACATTTCCCTTGAACTTATGCCAGGGTCCCTCTGCTACCATCAGTCTGATGAAGGGTGGCTGGTGCTATGAGCAGTCAGCCTGGTGAATCACTTCATGGATCACAACACGAAAGCCCACAATGCTCAAAGCCCAAAGACATTGACCCCCACATGTCAAAACAACTGAGTATGCTATGTCCGTATTTACATGCGCAACACTTGACATCTGTGACAGTGATTCTGTCAATGTGTACAAGCATGGAGAAATGTCACTCTTGGGCTAAGGTTCGCCTTTAACCTGATCTCCTGGGCACAGTCAGATTCGTCTTAGTAGGAAACTTGTGTGCTTTTTTTTCTTTACAGATGGACCAAAGGTAATGTCAGTTCAGGAGGCTGCTTTATGTTTTCTAAATGTACTGCAATGTAAAAAACAGGAGGTTTCAATGTTACAAGAAAAGTGCTATTTAATGTCCTGCGTAAGTGGACACATAAGGGGCACTGAGCTATACAATTGTAAACTAATTACATAGTAATATGGAACACTTTAGGTGAAAACCAATAAGTCTACCTAATCCCATTATAAGTCCATTACCTTAGAGAGGGTGAGGAAAGTAGGAAGGAATATATTTTTCATCAGGGGCTTCTGGTCATCACTATAAGAAGGCATCAGGGAATAAGGCATCAACAACGGGTGTTGTCTTTGCTCGGAAAATATACTGGTTAAATACTACGATGCTGAAGAATGCACGAAGTCATATCCATTCATATCAATAGGGGTATGCTGTACATTTATGTATTACCATGGATTACCTTGAGACAATACATACTCAGTTACCGTATAATGTCGCTGAACGTAATGTAAGAAAGAAAATGACACAGAGTACCCACATCATTCATAATAAGATGATTGGTAAAAAGTGCAAATTTCACACAAATATATTTGTAGTTTTACCAAAAAAAACTGCATCTCTTCATCATCCTGAGGTGTAATTATATTACAGATTTTGAAATTGCCACATAGTTAAGCATAACGTGAAATGAGTTTTGTAAGACAGAGAATCATAAAACTATCTGCCTCCTACCTAGTCCCATGTGGATTCCCCAGTAGTTCTGCAGACACTGCAGCTCCTTCTTCATGCCCCTCTTGCAACGGCAGTCATACAAAGGACTAACCAGCAGCACATCCATGGCAGCCTGGCACTCCCTGTTGTTGTCCAGCATGGCTTCCTTCTCCTTACCCACAAGGCACTGGCGCATCACCCGGTACCGAGAGCTGCAGTAAGGGTTCTGGTTGCACATGTCACTCGCCTGGATGCAGTCTACCCATTCTGGCTGAGCTCTGGGCCCAGTCCTGGTGCCTGGAGAACTGGTGGCCAAGGACAAGGGCAAAGCTGAGGGACCATCCCAGGAACTGGCTGCCTGGTCTAGGTGGGGACAGGGGATGGGGGGGTGGCAACACAAAAAAGAGAACTCAGAAATTGTAAATTAATGTGTGACTGAATTTGCATTTGTATATGTGTGTGCAAAGAGAAATCATAGAGCTGATTTCATTTTTAACTTGTCCGTTCTACAGTTTGGATGAGGGATGTACAGAATACATAGGTCTAATGACATGACCATACATGCCACATCATCTTGGAGCAAAACAGTTACCTTCTTCATTTTCCACATCAGTCTAATCCACCTGTCCTTGAGGCCTAGTTATGTCTCATTTGGATTTATATTAAATGATTTACCTGTGCTTACCTGTACTCATTTTTGTTTAGGGGTGGATCTAGAACATTTTGGATGGGGTGGCCACACTCGGGCACTCACTGACAAAGAGGTGGCACTTTTGGAAAACATGTCAAAAGTAAATGAAACCCCTAATTCTATGAAATAATAAACCATACATTGTTAAGCATCAAACTGCTTATTTTTTGTAAAAAATGAGACACACATAGTGTTTTCTTTAGCTAGCTTGGGCTGTGCTCCTTATTCACCCCTGGCCAGAGACATCACTGCTGCACAGTGGCAAGGCAACTCATGCCAAGTACTCTACAGCAACAGAGTCAGAAAAATTAATGCAAATATCATGCATTAATTTTATGCATGACATAAAATAAGACAAATTTGACAAATATCAATTATAAAGCACCAGAATATGTTAGTTCTATTTTGTTAGTTCTGTTTAAAGCAACAGTTTGTCACAGTTTTTCATTTTTCATTCATTAATACTGACAAGCATCACATTTAGACTCTGGCAGGGGTGGCACCAGGGGTGGCCAATGCGATTCTGAGGGTGGTTGGTGCCACCCCTGGCCACCCCCTCGATCCGCCCATGTTTTGATGCATCTAAAGATTCTAAAAGAATCTTTATATTCTCATTAATCAGCGTTTGGAGTCTGGCTTAATAATATGTGATTATATCAAATGAGCATCTAATTATAAACTACATTTATTTCACATCTAGGTAACCAGAAAATGAGGTTACGGTAAGTACACAGTGGTCCACGGAGCAGAGAATCAGGTGATGACGTTTGACGAGAGTGAAGATTCAAACGCGCCTTCACACACACACACACACACACACACACACACACACACGCACACAAAGTACTGACAGTTGTGGTGAAATGACAAGAGAGACCCCTTGTGGCAATCTTGAGTATTGGAGGAGAAGTAGGTACTGCATCAGTATCAGAGAGCAACGGGCAAAAAAAAAAAAGAGTAGCGTGAAGTTAACAAAAAAAATCATATCATCTGTCAGGTGATTTGAAAGGATGCTCAGGCGTTTTTGGGTGGCACAGATAATAGTAATGCTACCTATGATGATGAACGCAGTGATGATGATGATGATGAGGAGGATGAGGAGGAGGAGGAGGAGGAGGATGTTGACGATGATTTATTTTAAATTCAGTCAAAGTGTGCTACTGGCAGGACGATTTTCTCTTTCCTAAATAAAAGCTGTATTGTGCTGCCGCAACAATGAGCTCTTTATTTCTAGTATGGAAGCTGTAGCTGTTTAGCCTTATGGATATAGCCTAAAATAAGTGATTCACTCGCACAGACCAAGTTCGTTTTGTAGCTAAACATAATCTAATCAAACCACGGGAATATATGAACGCCCACCATGTACATTTTTTAAGCGGAATAACCTTGTGCAAGCAACTCCAGCATGAAAAAAGTGGACACCTACCAAATAATGCTCCCTGGCAAAAATTGTCAGAACTTATCTCAATTACCCACCAAATTGACAATTTGCACACAAGTGTACATGCTGAGCATATCTGACTTCTCACCTAAGAGCAGAAGAAAGACGTGCACGCACACCCACACAGTGACAGACTTCATACTTGACTCAGCGGCAAGAAAGATGAGTTGGGATCCAGTTAGGCTAATATTTCCACGTTGGGAAAGGATAATTCCCTTCTCCGGCTCCTTGACCCAGGCGCAGTCTAACTGTAAAAATAATCAATATCCTCATTCAACTCCAAAATAAAGACGCAATTCCGGGAAAAGAACCCTGGACTCCGAGTAATAATCCACTGTTCTTTATAAATAATAGATTAACCACGACACAGGAAAATCCCCTGATACTGAAAAAATAAATAAAAAAGAAAATCAAATACAAATCAATCAGTCAATCCATGAAAGCAGTTTCCAAGGGTCCGTCTGCGCTGCGTTCATACCGAGAAACTACTGAGACTTGATCTCTCCGCATTCTAAGGGTTCAGAATGCTCGCTCCAAATGCCCCTTTGAGACAATTTCTCTCTAAAACATCCCTTAAACTGACGAAAAATGATCTGTTAGCTATGCCAATGTCTTTGACCAGATAGAAGAACTCATCTGAAAGTGCACCAAAACAGTGACCGGATTTTTTCCTCTCACTACTGGCTCCCTCAAAAAGCTGTGCGCTCCTCTGGAGGGAGTGAACGCTTGTTTTGCACTAACTGCATGCGTGTCGAGGCATCACAGCACTTTATAAAGCGGAGTTTCAGCGAGCCAACAGAGGGCGCTGCAGGTGGATGCTCTCAGCATGCTACTAGATCACACCTATGCTCAGTAATATGTAATGTCACCCAACTGAAAAATCACCACGATGTTCATGCGATTTTTCTGCAATGAGCTGAGGGAAAAAAACGCAGTTCTGGTTCCCAGCAGTGACATTAGAGTAACCTCATGTGGCCTGTGTGGTATGTCTTTGACCCACTCTGAAACTGTTGTAATATTTTCACTGAAAGCCACACATTTTGGAAAACTATTTGTTATTCATGAATAACAACCTTCTCACACGGTTTCTATCACTTCCATTGGGGAGTATTCAAGTTCTGTCAAGAATTCAGCTGTAAGGAGGAGGATGCCACAACTGCAGTGCTGGGGAGTAGTGAACTACATGTAATTAAACTAGCACTTTAACTACATTTTGCAGTAGACTGAGTTCGGCTAGTTCATACTGTATTTGTATAGTGATTCAAGTATTTAAATGACTTTTTGCCATTTTTTGTGTAGTTAACTACTGAAACTACAAACAATATTGGGCTGTAAATGTAAATTAATGTTTTTTTTAAAACAAGAGATTCTCCTCTGACATGTAAAAAGATCAATTTATTATTTAAACCAGTGTTCAAGGTGTTCTGTCTAAAAAGGTCTAAGTTACATATTTTTACTTTACTGTTTTAGCTTTAGTCAGATACAGTAAAACAAAATCCAACAAAAATATAATGTTTTTTTTGCCATTTTGTCCTTGTAAAAGTTCAGAAAGGATTATTTAATTTAGGACAGGCTTAGGTCTCAGGTAATAATCTCAGATGAATTGTATTTATTCCTTCCATATGACTTTGTTTGGGCTTAAATTGACAAAACACCTATGAGGGGGGCACCCACCTGACGAGCCACAGAAAGCGCCAAGGGCCATAGCACGAGCTCTGATTGATCGCAATTACTTGTGGGCGTGTGATTGCTGGTTATTACTGTCATGTACAGCAGGAGGCAGGGGTTTTCCCCTGCTTTGAGATGATAATGAGACTGTATTATATTTTGTTGTAATTTTGTATCACATGTACATTGTCAATTTGATCATTATGTTTAGAAAATTATTGGAACTACTCTTTAGATAACCAAACTTTCTCTCCATAGTAGCTTTGCTGTAGTTCAATTTCTTCCAAAGTGAATTGGTAGCTTGCAAAGCTATGCTTTCACTGTAGCTTCTCCAACAGTGCAACTTCAACACATCAAGACAAGAAATAAGCATCTTGGCTACTTACAGTATAGCAAAAAAAATTCCAGTTTAGTTATATCCAGCCAGCAAATGCTGACGTTTTTATTCACATAGTTAATAGTTCAAAAATTAGCTGACATCAGTGGTTCATTTCCATGACCCACTGAATATTCAGAATGATATTTAGGGATAGGGTTGAAAAGTGGACTCAACAATGATGACTTCATTTCAGCAATGTCCCACTTCACAAAACATCTGTGCTTCCTCTGATTGATTGATATAAAGATTTGAAAAACGAGCACAGTGTCGCATATTTGCGCTCAGAGGAAATCCGCTCACAACCCACACAATCTGCAATTTTTCAAAGTAGCTTGACATTAAACAAAATGTCTTTGTTTGCTTCATCGCCTAAATAGTGTCCAGAATGTCATAAATCTTTACAAATCTTGAAAACAAAGTCTCTATTTAGAGACTCTGACAGTGACAAAGTGCAGGGCCACTGGCTCATAATGATGTTTGACTGTCAGCTCAGGCTTCCATCCAAGAGGGAAAAGAGCTTGCTGTTATAATGGCAAAATCTGCCTCATTCTGCCTATATTGGCCCGGGTTTATTTTCGTCTCTCCCCAGAGTTCGAAGTCTCTGTCATTATGAGGATACTGTAAAGTATGATCCACCACCATGAACGTGTCTGTCCTGCATTAGTGTGGCAGTGACTGATGCATCCTAGCCACAAATGTTTGAAGTGCATATTTCAACACAGAATTGCAGTGGTTTGCCTTTCAAGCAACTATTTCCAATATCACAAAGAATTACTCACTGCAGACAAGTTGCATTAACTGTAAAAAGTTTACATATGCATGAGCAGTAGGCTCAGGAGGAAGAAGAAATCTGTAATAACACACAACTGCATGAAATCAAGAGAAAAACATTACCTGCAAACAAAGTGAAAAAGAAGCATTGTGAATTCTCATGCCAGCATCACATAGTGTGCTATGGATAAATCTTCTCCTCACATTATTTTTTTCCTTGAGCCAGGGTGTCAGGTTTGTGGTGGGGGTTTATTCTGGTTGACACTGCACAGTTTACCTTTAATTGCTCCATTCTGACTTTATAAAGCATGGGTAGCTTTTTCACATGCATATGAGAGCCCACAGTGAAGCAGACATGTGCATAGTACCATTCATATACACTTGTGCATGCACAAGATGCTTCAACACCATGAAGATAAGGAACGACAAATCTAGATCTAGAGGACACTGCTACGAGAAATCAGTCCTTCCCAATGAGAAGTGTGCCTAATATGGCAAACCTACTGTAGATGATATTATTACAAATTCATTGGATATGAAGTAATAATACAGATAACAAAGTTAAGCCTCTGTGCAATAAGTTGGGCTCAGTGAGACAGCAGGGGGGTTTGAGAGTGAACTCATGCTTATTCATATGGGTCAAATAAGAACTTTGTCTGAAAATGTCACTTTGAAAGCAGCAGAGACATGCTTAAATAGCAAATTTGTCTTACAGCGTGAACAGATGCCTGCACAAGTGAGAGTGTTTTCAGACAGACTACAATTAATGTGCTTGGCCATTATTCAAACCTGACCCTGATGCATCCACCTCATTTAGCCAACAAAGGGTTAACTATCTAGAATAACAGCTTGAATCAACCATTGGTGCTTAATGTCTCATACAATAATGCTTTAAATTAAAAGGGTGTTGATAAAGGTTCGCTTTGCCTCACAGATTTGCAAACATCTAACTAGAGCCACTTTTATGGGCAAAGGTCAGTGTATCTCTCTTTGCTGGTCAGGCCTGTTGGAAAGAGTACTAATGAATCTGAGCACACAGTATATGCACACACGGACACCCAGGAAAGCGTACACAGAGGTTAAGCATGACTGATTTGATTAAGAATTATGGGCTAATTAATGTGTATCTTGGGAGACATGTGCAGCAGGTTTATTAGGCAGCACAGCCAGAGCTGAGCAGAGAACACGACAAAAACATGTGTTAATTTCCAGTATTAAATTAATTTAAACAGTACACTATAGCTCTGCTCCTTCGTATTTTACTCAGTTTAGTTTAATAGAAAACCTAAAGATGAAACGTCTGCCTGTGTAGTCATGAATTATTGAAGGCTGGGACTTGCTGTTGCAAAATATCTCTTAAACTTTCCCACTCTAACACTTGACTAAAAGTCAATTTAGAAATACTAAAAAACAGCAAAAATGGGTCATGACATATTTGAACTGTCTCTGTACCCAGACAGCGCCTGTGTTAGATGTAGAGCCCCGAGTCAGTTCAAATCAATGTGAGAGGGGAATGGAATAAGTATCAGTGAAGTCTTTTGTGAAGACGGTGGAGCAACAAGCGCAGCTGTTGGCTACTTCTTAGTTTGGGTAAGGCCTGTTGTCTTATTCTACAGTGAAACAATAAGCTGTTCTTGTTCAGATACAAGATCCTACATGTCAGTGTTTATGTGGAAGTGAACTTTATTTGAGTTGTACGTATAAAGCACCCCAATTCTGACGTGGCATGTGCTAGACTCGCTGGAGGCTATCGACCAGGGGAGATCCATTTGTTTTCCAGGCAATTCAGATGTTGTCCATTTCTATCACATTACTTTAACAGAAATTGAATTTCCTCTGATGCATTTTTATGTATCCTAAGTGCTGCTCTGTTCTCACTGGGAGTATAACGTTTCCAGTGGCGTGATGATGCAAAAACACTTTAGATTTAAACAGAAAATACAGGAATGGATTTTATTTTAAGGTGTATATGGACTTTCATGTATTTTTTTCTAAATATTTTCCACATAAAATATTCATCCTTCCGACTAAACGCAACTTGTTCCAGTAGTACTCTTGGCTTTGTCTAAGGGATGGTTCAAAAACTTTACATAAGAACACACAGGACACATTTTATTAGTGGGTTCATGCCCTGATGGGGTTTCTGTCTTGTTAGTGTCAAAAAAAATTACCATTGTAGTGGCAGCACACTGAGGAGAGTCCTATCAAAGAGGTCAAAACAAATATAAGCTCTCTGCATAACCCCCACCCACCACCCAAATTTCAGCGATTTGCAAACAGAGGCACATCTAGCTCATCTTGTTAAACACACCGTGGGTCCCATATGGGATATTGACAGGGACCTCTGCTCTGCCCAGCTCAGTGAAGGTCTTGGCATCCAGAACAAGAAGGAATGAACTTTTCTCCTGGAAAGAGAAATAGAAGATATTAAATATGTTACAATATGTAAAGAAAAAGGTCAAAGAGTACCATTCCCACAATAATGATAGTAAAAGCACCAAACCATCTGTCTACTGTATGCAGTATATTATGGTCACACCAAAAATATCCAGCCAGTTACACAGTAAATACAAGTTAAGATCAAATAAGTCAAAGTAATAGTCTCTGTTGACATTAACAATGTTATTTTTTTCTTTTATAGTTCTTAACTTACTTTTCTGGGTGTGATGATAACTGACAAGACCACTCCATCATCTTCCTCTGTAGCGTTGGGTGAAGCAACAAAGACAGGCTCAGACGGGTACAAGCCAGGATAACGCCACACCTAGACAGGGAAGATTACATAAATACACCCTTCACTCTGAGCTGTTTCATGTAATAAAACCAAATGCTCCCTCTAAATGATAGGGAGACAGCAGGAGGAATCAGAATCAGAATCTGCTTTACTGGCCAGGTGTGTCAGACATACGAG